GGTCTCTCCTGCCCGGGCTGGCTTTGAACCGAGATCCTCAGATCTTGAGTAGCTAGGATTACAGGCATGAGCCACCAGCGCCCGGCTAGTCTTAGCTTTTTTACTCAAGGATACCAGTCTAGCACTGAAGCCATAGCTCCACTGCTTTCTTTTTTTGGGTTGTGAGACGAACTCTAGGCCTGGGCGCTGTCCCTGAGCTCTTTAGCTCAAGGCTATCACTCTACCACTTGAGCCACAGTGCCACTTCTGGCCTTTTCTGTTTATGTGGTGCTGAGGAATCGAACTCAGGGCCTCAGGCATATGAAGCAAGCACTCTACCACTGAGCCACCTTCCCAGCCCACTGCTGGCTTTTTGATGGTTAGCAGGAGATAAGAGTCTCATAGATTTTCCTGCCCAAACTGGCTTTGAGTCAGAATCCTCAGATCTCAGCATCCCAAGAAGGGAGGATTACAGGCGTGCCCTGACACTTGGCTTGAAAACATCCCTAAAACAATTCTATTCATGAATCCTTCAAGCTCACTATTAGTTTTCAGTGAAACAAAGAAACATTGAAAAGTACTGCTTACTTTTTACATATTATATTCCGTGTCCTTCGAGTACGTCTACGTGAGAAAGAAGAAAGGCAGGTAGTACAACAAAAAAGGTGAGGAGATCCTTTTCGTTGATAAGCTGTCTGTCCCTTCTGTAAAGGCTCTTTGCAGTTTGCACAAGTGATTTTAGCTGGTTTAAGTTGTTGTTGGGCTGTAGTTTGGAAATTCTGTTTAGGAAGTAAGGCCACTGGTGATAAGGAATCCATTCCTGGTTGTTTCTGATTTCGAGGAAATGATGCTGACTGGGAGATCCAAGAATCTTAAAAATTAAACACAAGAAAAAGTTATAGAATACAAATACACATTGGGAATATGTTTTAAATTTTAAGGTTTTAAGAATCTAGAGACAGCACTGGTGGCTCACACATGTAATCCCAGCTACTCAGGAGGATGCCATTTGAGGTTCCCGGCAAAAAGCTAGCCCAGGTAGGAAAGTCTATGGGTCTCTTATCTCCAATAAACTATCAAAAACTGGAAGTGGTACTGTGGCTCAAGTGGTAGAATGCTAGCCTTGAGCTAAAGAGCTGAGGGACAGTGCTCAGGCCCAGAGTTCAAGCCCCACTACTGACAAAAGAAAGAAAGAAAGAAAGAAAAGAATCCAGAGATGAAGCAGCCAGCCAGTCTTATAATCAAAGAAACATAAGCACTTTGCATTCTAAGGCATCATATATTTCTATGTGCCACTAATAAATGGCCCCTAGAACTGTGAAATGTGATGGCCACTAGCTAGTTGAGCTTCTTAGATTTAAAACATTATCTCTGGGGCTGGGAAGGTGGCTCAGTGGTAGAGCACTTGCCTTGCACGCCTTAGGCCCTTGGTTCGATTCCCCAGCACCACGTAAGCAAAAAGAAAAAAGCCGGAAGTGGCGCTGTGGCTCAAGTGGTAGAGTGCTAGCCTTGAGCTGAAGAGCTGAGGGACAGCGCCCAGGCCCAGAGTTCAGGCCCCATGACCGGACCCCCCCAAAATAAACAATAAAAAAACAAAAAACATTATCTCTGAATTTAGTAAATTGTTAGACGGCACACTCAAAACATTAAACTTTTTCTTCCTAATAGGAAAAGTTATTCATTTATAAAATGAAGCAAAGGATAATGCAAATAAATAGATAACTGTAGTGAAAGAATAGCTATCTAGAACATTTGAGGAATACTGGTAGTGTATGCTATCTACTTACTTCATGAGCATTATGAAAAATGTAAAATGGAGATGTTGAGAAACTTTTACACGTAAGATCCATATATGTACCAACTGACACTATTTTACTGCTTTTACCTCATAACTTCCTTCCACATCTTCATCACTCTAAACTAACAATTTTTCTGCTTTGAGTATTTTGAGAAAACTGTAACATTACACTTTTCATTCAAAATGCTTTAGATAAGCAGACACTGATAACTCACATTTTATAATTCTAGCTACTCAGGAGGTGGAGATCTGAGAATTATAGTTCAAAGCCAGTTGGGCAGGAAAGTCTATGAGGTTCTTATCTTCCATTAACCATTAAAAATCTGGAAGTGGCTGGGCACCGGTGGCCCACACCTGTAATCCTAGCAACTCAAGAGGCTGAGATCTGAGGATCATGGTTCAAAGCCAGCCCGGGTAGAAAAGTCCATGAGATTCTTATCTCCAATTAACCACCAGAAAACCAAAAGTGGCACTGTGGCTCAAGTGGTAGAGTGCTTGCGTTGAGGTGAAGAAGTGCCCAGGCCAAGTTCAAGCCCCATGACAATCACTACCATCACCACTAACAACAAAAAAGCTGGAAGTAGTACTGCGGCTCAAGTGGTATAAAGTGCTAGCCTTGAGCAAAAAAAAAAAAAATCAAGAAAGCATGAGATCCTGGGTTCAAGCCCTAATATCAGCACGAAAAATAAATTAATATGGGCTGGGATGTTGCTCAGTAGCAATGCACTTGCACAGCATTATCTTATTTATTGCCTATTAACACTAGTGAATTGTAATTTATATCCGAGAAAACTAAGATACGGCAGGCTAAGATTGTAGCTAAGTAGTTCAGTGCTTACTTAGCAACACACAACTGAGCACTACAACAAAAAGAAGTTAAGTGTTAGCCAGGCGCTGGTGGCTCACGCCTGTAATCCTAGCTACTCAGGATGCTGAGATCTGAGAATCGAGGTTCAAAGCCAGTCTGGGCAGGAAAGACTGTGAGACTCCTATCTCCAATAAACCACCAGAAAACCAGAAGTGGCGCTGTAGCTCAAGTGGTAGAGTGCTCGCCTTGGGCTGAAGAGCTGAGGGATAGTGCTCAGGCCCAGAGTTCAAGTCACCAGCGTGAGTCACCAGCGCCCTGCTAGGGTTTATAACCATAATCTCAGCTCTGAGTTCCTGGGTTTGATCCCCAGTACCAATAAAGAAAAATACAAAAAATAGTTTAAGAAATGTAATGTAAAATATAATACTACAAATAGCATCATATTCACTTCAAAGTGTCATCTATTGTTTCTAACTTCTGCCAGAGCTTCAAATTCTTTTCTATTTTCTTGGAAAGATGCTGTACAGAGGGGTTACAGTTACAGCAGTAAGGTAATGAGTACCTTTCTTGTTGTGCATTGTCAAATTATTTTTTTACAGTTTAAATCAAATCAGAATGAACAAAAAGTTTGTTGTTGCTGTTTTTTGCCTGTACTGGGGCTTGAATTCAGGGCCTGGGCACTGTTGCTGAGCTTCTTTTGCTCAAGGCTAGCACTCTACCTCTTGAGTGACAGTGCCTCTTCTGGCTTTTTGTTTATGTGTTACTGAGAAATCAAACCTAGGGCTTCATGCATAGTAGGCAATCACTCTACCACTGAGTCACATTCCCAGTCCTCTTTTAAAAATGACAGATTGGCACATCTTGTAGTAGGTGCTGGTGGCTCAAGCATGTAATCAATCCCTAGCTACTTAGGGAGCTAAGAGCTGAGGATCCTGGTTTGAAGCCAGTCTACTCAGGAAACTACAGGAGACTATTATTTCCAATTAACAAGCAAAATGCCACAAGTGAAGTTGTGGCTCAAGTGGTAGAGTGCTAGCCTTAAGTAGTAAAAAAGCTTAAGGACAGCATCTAGGCTTTAAGTTCAAGCCCCAGTACCAGCATGCATACACATGAAAAAAGATTAGAGCTGCCAGTTGCCAGTGGCTCATGCCAATAATCCCAGCTACTCAGGAGGCTGAGATCTGAGTGAGGACTACAGTTCAAAGCCAGCCCAGGCAGGAAGGTCCATGAGGTTCTTATCTCCAAAAAATTACTCAGAAAAAGCCGCAAGTGGTGCTGTGGCTCAAGTGGTAGAACACTAGCCTTGAACACAAAGAGGTTCAGGGACAGCACCCAAGCAATGGGTTCAAGCCCCAGGACAGGAGAAAAAAAAAAAAAAAGACCAGGAGCAAGTAGCTTACGTCTCTTCTAATCCTGGCTACTCAGGTTCATCTATACTGCATGTAGCAAGAGACTAATGATCTCAAATAAAAGCTGCTGAGCCATGTCTCCAAGCATTTCTCATAGAATATATATGTACTTTTTTGGAGTGTTAAATCCTTCATCATTTTTTGTTATAGGGATTGCAATTCCATAAATCAGGTAATGAGTATAAGGACCATGTCACTCCTTCCTTTGCTTTCTTCCATCTCCATTTTTCCCCTCTTGTGCCTGCCCACAAATTCCATAGTTTTTTTACATAGTGTATATTGAATATTCTAACTGCATGTTACCCTTCTTTTCTCCATTTTTATGCACCTTTCCCCCCTCCTTAAGAATACAAAAAAAAAAGCTGGGTGCTGGTGTTTCACACCTGTAATCCTAGCTACTCAGGAGGCTGAGATCTGAGGATCATAGTTCAAAGCCAGCCTGGACAGGAAAGTGTTTGAGACTCCAATCTCCAATTAACCATCAGAAAACCAGAAGTGGTGCTGTGGCTCAAGTGGTAGAGTGCTAGTCTTGAGCTGAAGAGCTGAGGGACTGTGCCCAGGCCCCAAGTTCAAGCCCCAGGACTGACAAAAAAAAATACACCCCCCCCCCAAATCCAAATCCAACAACAAAAACAAAGGATTATTTCTATTTTGTGGATCTCATGGTTTTGTTTTGCTTGTCAGTTGTGGAGCTTGAACTCATGACCTGGCCACTGTCCCTGGGTTCTTTTTGCTAAAGATTAGCACTCTATCACCTGGAGCCAGAGCTCTTCTTCTGGCTGTTGAGTGGTTATTTGGAGATAAGAATCTCAGGGGGCTTGAAACGCAATCCTCAGATCTCAGCCTCCTGAGTAGCTAGGATTACAGGCATGAGCCACTGGTGCTTTGCTGGCATGGGCTATGATCTGCTTAACTTTTAGAATTCCCAACTTAACTGGGATCACAAGCCTATATAACTGTGTCAGAACTGGAAACCAAATCTTGCAGACTTTCTGCTCAGACTGGCTTGGCATCATGATTTACCAATGTAGTTTGGCATGTCAGACAGACACCACTGTGTCAGCTATGAGGTTGAGAAGGAAATCTCAAAAACTTTTACTTACCAGTCTGAACTTAAAATCCATTCTGTCTCCCAAGAACCTAGAATTTTGTATGTATGTATGTGCCATATGGTTCTTGAACTTAAGAACTTCGTGCTCACCTTAGCATTTTTGCTCAAGGTTAGCATTCTATCACTTGAGCCACATACAGTTCTACTTCCAACTTTTTGATAGTTAACTAGAGTCTTACTCACTTTCCTGCCTGGTCTCGCTCTGAAACACAATCTTCAGATTTCAGCATCCTATATAGCTAGGATTATAGGCACGAGCCACTGATGCCTGGACTCATAATGTTTTCTATTTTAACATTTTGTACCTGATAACCCTATTGTCTTGCCCCTCTTCCCTGCTTGATTTTCTGCTATATGACCTTGCTGCATCTAATTTCGGATTACTTTTTAGTATATGCTTATGTATGGCACTGGAAATCCAAACCCAGGGTCTCAGGGTCGGGGATTTAGCTCAGTGAAAGAACTCTTGCCTAGCAAGTGTAGGCCCTAAGATCATTCCTCAGCACCAAAAAACCCCCAACACAACAACAACAACAATCAGGGTCTCACACATGCTGGTTATTATATCATCTGAGCTCTGGATGACGTTTGCATTCTAACTCAAAGGCTTTAAGGGAATTTCTCCAATGACTTTCTCTCAGGCCCCAATGTATCTGTCAAAACTTCTACTTTCACCTGACACTTGGTGGCTCATGCCTGTAACTTTGGAGACTGAGGTCTGAGGTTCCTGATTTGAAGCTAATCC